GTAAGAGAAATGTGCGTGCTGGAAGAGGTTATGTGCATTTTTACATGTAAAACTAGTTGTAACTGGGAAAAGAAAAAGGTTATGAAGTCAAGTGGGCATAAAGAAATATCGTAAATCTAGAATAATTGTGCGATTAAATAGAACGGTGAAAGCGGATTACTAAGTGCATATTTTGAAATCAATTGGTCGGTCGTATTAAAGTGCTTGCCTAGATGTATCGTAAGAATCAGGCATTACGTACTAGCTTTAGGCTGGATTATTTAGTAATTAGAGGAGTCTGTAATCAGCTTATGCTAGTAAGGGGAGGTGGTGAATGAAATACAATACAAAGAAGAAGCTAGTGGGCAGTTGATAAAAAAAAAAGAGATAAGAGATTAGAATTTTTTTATAATTAGCGTAATCGCTAAAATAGTCCAGAACTTGTAAGTATAAGCTTTGATGTTAAATTTGATTGTTTATAAAAATAGTTTATCATGTGAAGAAAGAGTGTAAGAAGTGTAGAGGAGTTTATTATAGCATTAAATGTGTGGAGACTTTTATGTGAACGAAGAGAGTGGTGGTGAAATGTTATGAGTAAGTAAGAAACGGGTTTTCTGAGGACGATGAGTAATATTAAAAGGAAGCGAACTTTGATGATAGAAAAATATTATCTGCTTTGAATACTCGTAGAAGTAGTAAGGAAAATGGATCTTAGAAAGGTTTTCCACAAGAAAATGTGTGATAGGGAAGGATGAAGAAATGAAAAAAAATAGATAACAGAAAACCGGGATAATACGGAGATAGGTAAAATGGAAATAATTAGTAAGAGTGTGGAATAAGAGGAATTTCAAAAAAGAATGAAGGAGAAAGAAAGAGAGATAAAAAACACCTTAAATTTAGAAAGTGGTAAGGATCAGGAAATTGAGTTGGTACTATGTTGAACAGGGTAATTCAAGAGATGAGAGGTGGTAGAAATGAAGTATTAGATTTAAATGCGAATTTGATAAGGACAGAAAAGGTTCTAAGATGGTTGCTTCTGTAAGCGTAGAGATTGTAAGGGCATGAGAATAAGTTGTATAAGATAAAGAATAATATGTATAGTAAGAATATAATTTACAATGTTTTGAGGAAGAAACTATGATATCTTAAAGGTGGGTTAAATGGATAGTAATTGGTTATTGATATAGAAATGTGGAGGTAGAACAACTGCAAAGTGCAGGAAATATGGGAATGGCGATTGCAGAGTTTGCAGATGGTTTGAATGAAGTGGTAATATTTCGAGAAGACTTTTTAAGTAATACAGTGTTAGATTATGGGCTGATTTGTCAGAAGAGAATTGTCGAAGAGATGTTGGTTGAATAATCCTTTCGTAGGGGAAAAGGAAAGAGCAAAAGGTAGTGACGATATTCATAATAGGATAGACTGGCAGATGTTTTGTTGGGGTAGAAAAGATAGAAAGTAGAAAAAGAATTGTAAAAGGATAGTTGAATTGAAACAGTTTAGAGAAAAAGGGGGTGGTTTCCCGGCCTTTTTGGGAAGGTTTGTCCTTAAGATACGAAGCATGGGTAGGCGATGGAAGGGGAAATGAATATATAAGTGAAAAAATGGAAGGTATATAGATATTAATAGAATGTGGCAGAATTAATGAATAGAGAGAAGAATTTTGGGGTTACATCAGAGAAGTGGAAAGCCTTTTTTTAAAGTGGGGGTGGAAACTGGAAATAAATGGCAAAATGTTTAAGTAAGCATGTAAATTGGATTTCTATGTACCTTTACGGTATATAATAAAGATATAGCAAGTTGTTTTGATTAACTTAACTTAAGTACGGAAATGTAATCTTATTCCTCCAACAGTATCACTGGAGGTAATTTATTTCTGTATTGGGGTTACTGATGTCGTGCTGTTGCTGAAAGTTGAGAGGGAGGGTTTTCTTAAAACTAACTTAATTGTTATCTCAAATCTAATTTATAAGTTACTAGCGGATCTGGCAGACGTTGTCCATCGATCTCCCCTTCTCCTCTTTCTCTTCCTCTCCTCCGTCTCATCGTCTGCCTTCTTTTTTTACTCTGCATCTGTTGTCTCTCTGTCTCTGCTGTCATGACCCTTCCCCTGTGTCGTCTCTCTATGCATGTTTTTCTGTTCCTCAACTTTTCTCTCCTCTCATTATTCCTCCTTCATTCTCAACTCTCATTTCTCTTCCCCTGAGGGAGAGCGAGAGGGAGAGCGAGGGAGGGGGAGAGAATGAGAGTGAGAATGAGGGAGAGGGAGAATGAGAGAGAGGGAGAGGAAAAGTGAGAGGGACAGAAAAAAATGCATAGAGAGACAGACACAGGGGGAAGAGGGTCAGGGACAGACAGAGTCAGAGAGACAGATGCAGAGTAAGAGAGAGAGAGAGAGAGAGGCAGGGACAGATAGAGACGGAGAGAGATGGAAGGAGAAAGAGGAGAAGGGGAGATAGATGGCAACGTCTGCCAGGATCCGCTAGTAACTTACAAATTAGATTTGAGATAACAATTATGTTAGTTTTAAGAAAAACCCTCCCTCTCAACTGCTTCAGCAACAAGGCAGCAGTACATTGTAACCCCAATACAGCAAATAAATTCCCTCCAGAGATGATACTGTGGAGGGGAATAAGTATTAAATTTCCGTACTTAAGTTAGAGTAATGAAAACACTTGCTATATCCTTATTATATACCGTACAGGTACATTAGAAATCCAATTTACTTTGCTTACTTAAACATTTTGCCATTCTTAGGCTCACTTCATCTGAATGTAACCCCCAAAATTCGTCTTCTCTATTCATAATTCTGCCACATTCTAGTAATATCTATATACCTTCCATTTTTTCACTTATCATATCATTCCCCTTTCCATCCCTACCCATGCTTTGTATTTAAGCAAACCTCACCGACCCTTTCTCTAAACTGTTTCATTCAACTATTCGCTTTTACAATACTGTTTTCTACTTTCTATCTTTTCTACCCCAACAAAACATCTGCCAGTCTATCCGTATTTATGAATATCGTTCACTAACCTTTTTGCATTTCTTTCTTTCCCCTACGAAAGGATTATTCAACCAACATCTCTTCTGACAGATTCTCTTCTGACAAATCAGCCATAATCTAGACATCTGTATTACTTAACCAGTCTTCTTCGAAATATACCACTTCATTCCTACATCCTGCAACTCTACAATCTCATTCCCATACTTTCCTGCACTTTGCAGTTGTTCTACCTCCACACTTTCTATATCAATAACCATTACTATCCATTTACCCACCTTAAAGATATTATAAGTTTCTTCCTCAAAACATTTCGTAATTATATTCTTACTATACATATTATTCTTTATCCTATACAACTTATTCTAATCTCTATGCTTACAGAAGCAACCAATCTAGAACCCTTCCTTGTCTTATCAATTCTGGCATTTAACTCTAATACTTTACTTTCTACCACCTCTCATCTCTTGAAATTACCCTGTTGTCAACATCTACCAACTCATAATTTCCTGTTTCTTACAGCTTCTAACTTTAAGGTGCTTTTTTATTATCTCTTTCTTTCTCCTTTCTTTCATTTTTGAAATTCCTCCTATTCCTACACTCTTACTAACTTATTTCACATTTATCCTATCTCCGTATATCCGGTTTTCTCGTATCTATTCCTTTTCTTTTCATTCTTCCTTATCCTTCCTATACACATTTCTTGTGGAAAACCTTTCTAAAGATCCATTTTCGTTACTACTTCTACGAGTATTCAAAGCAATTGATATTTTCTATCATCACGTTCCTTCCTTTTAATATTACTCATCGTCCTTCAGAAATACCCGTTTCTTACTACTCATAACAATTCACACACTCTCTTCGTTCACAATAAAAGTTCTCCACACAATTTAATCTAATAATAAACTCCTCTCACTTCTTACACTCTTTCTTCACATGATAAACTATTTTTGAAACAATCAATATTTACATCAAGCTTATAGTTCACAAAGTTCTGACTATTTTAGCGATTACGCTAATAATAAAAAAATATAATTCTTATCTCTTTTTTCTGTTATTAGACTGACCACTAGCTTCTTCATTTGTATGTATTTCATTTCACCACCTCCCCTTACTTAGATAAGCTGATTACAGCGCCTCTAATTACTAAATAAATCAAGCCCTACAAAGCTAGTACGTAAATGCCTGATTCTTACGATGATTAGGGCAGCCTTTAATACGACCGCCTTTAATACCGCCCGACCAATGTGTTCAGAAATATGCACTCCGTAAATTCCGCTTTCACCGTTCTATTTAAGCGCACAATTATTCTAGATTTACGATATTTCTTTAATGCCACTTGACTTCATTAACGTTTTTCTTTCCCAGTTACACTAGTTTTACAATGTAAACATAACCACTTCCCGCACCGCACATTTCTCTTACTATTACTCGCGCAACTTTTCTTGAACGATGACCTTGATCCCCCTCCCTTGTGCAATAAACAGTTGAAGGCAAAAGCTCGCAGCGGGCACTGATGACAACCTTAAAAGCATTAAAACTTCTTTGGCGCGAAATAGAAGCTAGTCAAAGCCAGTTGCTTTCATAGTGCAGAAACCCTGTTCAGATTTATTGTAAATATCGAAAGAAATGGCAGAGTCAGGTCTAGGTCCTTCAAAGGAGTCAACAAAAACTCCCGAAAATGTTAAGCACAAGATGCAGTTTTGACTTTCATTTCACAGACTTTGGCATTACTTAAAATACTCTAGTGGCCGACTTTGTAACTAATACCCCCACTCCACCCGAAATCGTCAATCCATCGTTCAAGAAAAGTTGCCCGAGTAATACTTTACAGATAGCTCGTGTAACTACTTCATTACAGTACATTGTAAATTTTATATAAGTCTCCTTCTATAAACAACGTTCCGTAGGCTCTTAAACATAATTCAAGTTTAACTTTGTACTACACTTACTTGTTACTCGTTGGTTGTGTCATGACTCTTGAGAGTTCCTTTCCGTAAACATGTTTGCCATGTACTTGCTCCCAGCGTCCACTGGTCTATTGTCACAAATCTCTTCTTTCTCATTTTCAGGTAGTACCTTGAATATTCTTCGTCATTTGCTTACTAATATCACTGATTACAATTGTGTTCCATCTCTTAATCCACATACAAGCCACCCCGTGGTCTCGTACCCACAATGCCGTCTATTCTTGGATTTTTATTTCTTGGCCCAGAACTGCTCGATACGGTTGCGATCATGCGACATCTAGAAGCAAGACAGAGAATGACGCGAAATACCGTGAGATATTACATCGTGAAGACATGGCATCGCTTGCCAAGAAATAAAAACCCAAGTATAGAACAACTTCAACCTAATTGCACTTCAGAAATTACGCAGAGATGAAAAGGACGGTGAAGGACAGAATGTCATAGCAGCAACGACAAGGCATATTTTGCCTTAAGAATAGTGAATGTGAAAAAAAGAATTAACTTTTGCAGAAATATATGCTTGGTATTAATGCATATCGCATTTTCCATTGATATTTTTGAAATTATGAAAATTGCAAAGTTAATTTTTTTGAACCTGTCCAACATTTAACATCGAAGCTCGAAATATAAAGCAAAATATATTTTCGACAAATCGTACATGATCATATCTAGAGTCATGTCTTTGAAGAATGGGATTCAATAGGTCAAAATATCATTCTTAAATATTGAACAATAATTTAGTTAAACGCAGAAAACGCCAGCCCTCACGGCCGAGGTTGCTAAGGCAGTAGTGCCGTAGCGATCTCGGACCGAAGGATCGCGGGTTCGAGTCCCGGCTCGGGCATGGTTGTATTGTGTTCGTCCTTTCACCCCATATCATCATCATCATCATAACGTGTCATCCTCATAGTTACTATATCGTTACACACAATAGTGGTCACTAACGACCTAGAAGTTGGTACGCACTTAATTAACAAAAACAAATTGGGTCGAAAACATTTTGAACTTTTGAGATTTTTAAAATTTCAGAATGTTTAACGAAAATGGGAAATTTTAATAGTTAAAAACCTGATTTTTTTAAATAATATACAAAAGTTCAATTTTTTTGGCCTCTTTCTACAGCTGCATTTATGAAGATAGACATTTTTCTTGTAATGAAAACTTTTCCTCAAAGACTATTTCCTGTATCTTTTTTTAATTGAGTAATTTTTTGCGTAATTGTGCGTGAAAGTATGGGGCGATAAATTACGTGCTGTCCATTATATGGATGTTATTGCCGTGAACCACTATTTATACTTTTGTCTGGAGTCCGGATGATTTTTTTTTAAAAATCACGAAATATCCGTCTTTTTGTAACTTGTTTGTCTGAGAGCACGATATAATGAAATTATTTGTTTTGAATCTGTTTGCATTACTATGCCTGTATGTGGCAGCATTATCATCAGAATATTCTCTCTCCTCTGTGCAATTCAAGAGGTTCACTCATTCTCGGTAATAGTAGTTTTGTGAACATCTGTTAGTGATACCGGTGAGGATTTTTGTTGTGTTAGTCATATTGCTAAAAATATTACTCGCGCAACATTTCTTGAACAATGACCTTGCTTCCCCCTCTCAGGCACAATAAACATATGAAGGCAAAAGCTCACAGCGAGCACTGATGACAACATTCCAAACACATCTTTACAGGCGCGAAGTAAAAACAATTTTCTTTTGAAGACGATAACTTTTATCGATTATTTTCTCAAAAAATCTAAAGAAATGACCGAAACGGTTACGAATCTATCCCAAGAGATATCTCAAACGCCTGATAAAGTTAGATCGCAAATTATTAAAAACGTTACGAAGACGTGACTGATTCTCCAGAGATTGGCATTGCTTCACAAAATCTAGTGGCCGATTTCGTAACTAATACCCCCACTCTACCCGCCTTTCTTCAATCTATCGTTGAAGAAAAGTTACGCGAGAAATACCGACCCCGCTGAGCATCACAGATCTCTTATAAAATCTAGTGGCCGATTTCGTAACTAATACCCCCACTCTACCCGCATTTCTTCAATCCTTCATTCGTTCTATCGTTCCTTCTATCGTTCAAGAAAAGTAGCGCGAGTAATACACTATGTGATCAAAAGTAGCCGTACACGTGGCTGAAATTGGCTTACCAGTTCGTGGCACCCGCGATTGGTGTTGCTTGATAACAGTTTCCCCTCTCATTCTTTCAATCAGGTGTTGGAAGGTTTTTTGGGGAATGGCAGCGCATTCTGCATGGATTGCTGCACTGAGGAGAGGTATCGATGTAGGTCGGTGAGTCCTGGCACGAAGTCGGTGTTCCATAACATCCCAAAGGTGTTCGATAGGATTCAAGTCAGTACTCGGTGCAGGCCAGTCCATTACAGGGACGTTTTTGTCGTGTAACCACTCCGCCACAGCCCATTCAGTATGCGCATGTATCGTGTTGAAAGATGCAATCGCCATCCCAGAATTGGGAAGCAAGAAGGTGTTTAAAACATCAACGTAGACCTGTGCCGTGATAGTGCCACACAAAACAACAAGGTGTGCAAACCCCCTCCATGAAAAACATGTCCACACCATATTACGATTTTGGTCGTGTCCGGATACTTTTTATCACATAGTATATATTTTGATACTTGAAAATGCCAAAGCGGAAATGCAAGTAGAGTTATGCCTTAGACAGCAAATATTCTGCATTCAAAATGGGAAGGAAGGATTTGGAAGCTGAATGCAAAGTACAATACGCGCACTTTTTCTTGATACTCCAAGCGGGGTTGCGGGGAGAGGCGGGTCCTGCCTATGTCACGGCAGTGCAGTGCTATCAACGTCATCGTCAGAAAACTCAGCGTAATAGAGCATAGCGCGTGTTGGATTAGAAATCAACGAGAAACAACAAAAGGTGTTTTTAAACTCTCAACAAAGAATTAATAATTTTAAAGAAATATTGAGTATCAAGAAGAAACATGGTAACCACAGATCGATAGAGAGAGAAAACTAAGAAAGCCCGCATTGCAAAGGAAGAAGGTTGCAAAGGCATCACTGCAAACCGAGCGGTGACGTTTCGAGTGGAACGTTTTCTACCGGGCCGTGCTCTGCTGTGCTTTGCCGTGCCGTGCCGTGCTGTGTCGTGTCGTCGTATCGTAAAAATGCAATGTAACATGTACATATCCTGTGTCACATATTACATTGCTATTGAAAATATTATGGACTGTCCGCGTTTGTCACCAAATGTCCTTTTTATCGATGAGGAGGATCTGGTTACTCTAGCTGTGATTGGACGCTCATTATCATGACATAATGAATTAGTTAATCCGATCTGGAAACCTTTTCCTATTCAACGGCCCTGCCAGAAGTGAATAGACAGGATCTTGCGGAATTATCAAATACAGACGAAGCAAACAAACAAATAAATCTACACAAAAGGACTCACGCTTAAAATGCGTCTGGACCGAAAAAGGCTGCCCAGGGCATCAACTGATGTCATTGCAGTGCCACCTCTCCGGTTTTAGACCGGAGACTCCGGTTTTTGAGCTTCATATCCGGTCTCCGGTTTTTGACCCACAGAGATTATTGGTGCCATCGTGCATTCATCCAAACAATTAATTTAACATTGTTGCAAGAACCTTTTGCCAATTGCAGAGAGTTCTTCGAAAGTTGCAGGACGGAGGTTTCAATTGCTCTGCATATTTATGGCAATTTTAATGAGCGAATGGATCGTTCGATCCACCTTCAACATAAGTTGCCTGCGATTCCCGACGAAGCGAGTGCAAGTGCAATTCATTTTGTGAGCGAATGTTGCTAATATTAATCGAAGCAAAGAAAGTTTTCCTGTACCACCAGTGCAGTCTAAGGAAGTTAAATTCCCTTCCAGTTTCATCATTATGTTTTCTTTCAAGAGTATCAAATACTACTTCTGTTGTTCATTGACAGTGGAAGAATTGGTTGAATTAATTCTTTTCGAAAAGTGTTGAGATCATACAGTTTTCCCTCATTAACTCTGGTATAAAAGCATCATGCATTGGATGATTGGCGCGCGCCCAAGACTAATTGAATAATAGTTGTTTGGACATCATCAAGCACATGTCCCCAATTGAATCAATGCTTACGTGTAATTTCTTTATAAGTGATGATTTATGATCTTTAATGATTAAGAAATTGAAGATTAAGTGACATTTTAACGTTGGGTGACAACTAAAAATATTATGATAACTGCTATATATAAAAATTACCGTCTGAAAGTGGGACAGTATGAATTTTCCCGAAACTACTTGATTGACCAAATGTATAGTCATTTGAAGCAATTTTTATATTGTTAAGATATTTGTTCCAAAAAGTTATGCATCGTTCCATTTCCTGAAAACCAATCTGTACAACGATGAGTCGTCTACCTGGTGGGGTTTCATCAAGTGGGGTATATGTCGTGTATATGGGTTCCTCTGCCTAACTGCTTGAGCGCTTTACATCACTTGATTGTTGCAGCAAAGACCCACTATTCCGATAATAAATAGTTTTCGCTAAATTATCGATTAACAGATGATATTGACTAATTAGAGTGTCAAGACGATTGCATTAAAGGTAGACAATTAACTAATGCCTATTATTCGGTAGTTAAACTGTTAGATACAATATAGACCCACTGAGTAAACTGAAAACAGTTCGCATTCACTGATATAAAAATTTGCTGCGATTTATCATGTGAGAATAATGTAAGCGCTCGTTACGACGCTTCATCGTCTGTGTCTGATATTAACGAAATTCTCTATGGCTTTAATGATTCATTTCGATAGTACATTTCTTGTGCAGCATGATTAGATTTGGTATTATGGTAGTCTAGGTTTTGTAGACCATTTCAGGGGGTTCGTTCTCCCGTGAACATTTTGACTCTTCGTTACTCATGAAATGTCACATAGTGTTCTTATATTTTATTATGTATTATTTATTGTGTCAAATAGTTTTCGGAACAGACGACATTAAATTTCTTATACTCTACGTAGTTGTACATCTCTGTGCTCCAACGCAACACCCGCGACTTTCACTGCTTTTGAATATGCATCATGATTTGAATTTGAACTTTGTATCTTTACTTT